GGGGTGGGGGGTACAGTTCTAGTGGATGTTTATATAATAAGGCGGGGGCGAAAAACAATTTCTGCCCCGGGCGCCTATAACTCTGGTTACGCCACTGGAGCAGATGACTAGGCTGTGACACGGAGTGGCTGAAGCAGACAGAGAAGACAACACAGCAGGTTAGTACGGACACACCTCATGGTGCTCAGCCAATTCTGCATACCTGGCTTTATATTATAAGAAAATGTAATAATAATATAAAGCCAGTTATACAGAATTGGCTGTAGCTGTGCCACACTGTGTTCTGGTCTGCAGTCTGGACATGTGCTCATCTATTTTCACCACTAGGGGGATACAAGCCTTAGTTAGCAATGGCATGATAAATATTAATTTCATTATTCAATGTCTTTTTTTTTATATTATAACATTTATAATATTAAAAAAAAGACATTGAATAATGAAATTAATATTTATCATGCCATTGCTAACTAAGGCTTGTATCCCCCTAGTGGATTATCACATGTCCAGACTCCAGAACAGTGTATTATTGTATAGTGTGGAACAGCTGTAGCCAATTCTGCATACCTGGCTTTATATTATAAAGTTCTTATAATATAAAGCCAGGTATGCAGAATTGGATATAGCTGTGCCACACTACAGAGTGTTCATGTTCTTCATAATATTAAGAAACTGACCTAAAATCATGATTTTGTATTGCTTTAGAAAAATGTGACCTGTCCCTTTAAGAAAAAGTATCGGTAATTGGTATCGGCGAGTACTTGGAAAAAAGTATCGGTACTCGGCCTTAAAAAAGTGGTATTGGTGCATCCCTAGTATTCATTTTGGGGATGTGGTGCATGTGATTCACATGATGTGAACCTATAGTACCGGTCCATGTGTATAGTGAATTTCTGTCCTGTAAGGTAGCCTATCTTGTGCCGATCGGCCAAAAGGATATCTAAGTTATCAGTGTTGTCCTGTGAGGAGCCCCATTTCGTCTACCCTAGACAAGGTTGTTTTAAGACCAAGGACCTTTTGTACACAAGGTAGTCTCTGCGCTTCACCTTTAAAGAGGATATTCGGTTACTTTCCCTGTGTTTGCCACCTGTCCACCCCAAGGAAATCTCTTTTCATTGCCTGGTTGTGGGGCCCTCAGGATTGCCTGTTTGTTCTGAAAACTTCTTTAAGAAAATGAACGTGGGACAGTGCAGAAATGTTATTACTGGTCCTTGATATTGCAAACAATAGTAATAGTGAAACTAATATAACTGGTTCTGACGTGAGCGTGCAAGATATGGTAAAACATGTTTTTCTTAAAGTGACATTAAAGTAAAAAAAATGTTTTCCCTCCCCCAATGTTAAAGAAAGCACTTACCTTAAATGATGTCTCTTAATCTGATCTTCTTCTTTCCTGTCCTTTTCATTGGTCCCTCCAGCGCTGTGGCGGGTCTCCGATCCAGCGCTGACTTCTGTCCTTGCTGGCACTTCCTGTCACATGGTGTCTGCATGTGGGTGCACGTTGTCCATATACTTACAGTGGGGCAAAAAAGTATTTAGTCAGCCACCAAATGTGTCTCCTGGCCTTTTTTGCATATATCGGCTGCTTGCTGGCAGTAGATATATGCAAAAAAAGGAGGGTTTAATAATACTTTAAGCATTCTTGATGGTTCTAATCTTTTGGAGAATCTGGGCAGTCATATACATGTTGCCACTTTGAAAATGACGTTTTTACAGCTTTTCTTCATGCAGTAATTATAGCCTGCAATTTACTGTTTATTGCAGATTCAAGATCCAGAAGTATGTGACCAAATGTATGAGAGTCTGAATAGGATAAACAGCAATTGTTTTAAAGAAAAGGTATGGCACGGCATATTACCTTCTCACTGTTCTAAAGATTGTTACTTCTTCTACTTCCTTTTCCAAGAAAAGTAAAACACTTCTACCTATACCATATTCCTTGCCATATAGGTCTGAATGGCAAACTTAAAAGGAAACTGTACTAAATGTTTAGTGAACTTTAAATGCTTGTGTCTTATGTTTTACTTATTTGCTGTGCCTTTTTATTTTGAGTTATCTGTAAGGATCAACTGGTAGTTTTCTTTACTTGAAGTGTTTTAAAGAGACAAAACATGGGGAAATATACATGTATTGCAAAGTTGTACTGTATGTTTGTTTTTTTTTGTTTTTTTTTTTTGAGCAAATCTTTCTGGGCCTGTGGACCTCAAACCTACCATCAAATCCCATTGTCAAATCCCATTGTCAAATCCCATTGAAGTCTATAAGTGGCAAACCTTATTACATTCTGGCTGTTTACTACGCTCATGGGCAAGCTATTGTCAGAAAAGGGATCTGGGCACTGTCAATGGGTTACATGTGCCAATGCAATGCAAAAAAGAAAATATTTTTGTATTTATGATAAAATCTTTTTCTTGGGGTCCATTGAGGGCACAGGAATTCATAAAATCTGGGTTATACTGCTGCTTACAGGAGTTTTGGACCAGCCAGCCCCTGTATAACACCTCCTCGACCCAGTATGACTCAGTTTTGTGAGACATTGACTCCAAAAATAAGATTTTACAACAGTCTTATTTCTTTTTCATTCATTAAGGGTCAAAGCATTCAGTTATATTTAAACGACTAAATTATAATGTGCCTACAGGAGGATTTGCACAAAGGAAAAAAGCTGTTGGCCAGCCAGGTATAACGCCTGCCACTCCCAGCATGCTTCAGTTTATTGCTAGTGCCCTAGAAGAATCAATGGGACTTCTATATATAGAAATGTTACAGTTTTTACTAGTAATAGATCATTATTACGATTTTTTTTGACCTCTTCTACGTACTTTTGAGCTGGGCTCTGTATGCAGCTGTCTAGATCAGTGTTTTTTCTCAGCACTGCTGAACCTAAGGATGCAGGGCCTGCCGGGAATGTGACATTTGAGCTAGGGTTGCAACTAATTTTTAGCTGGAAAACTGCTTAAGACCGCCAAAAGAGTCTATATTTTCTGAAAGCAGAGGCCCTGTAGAATAAAAAAAAGTGAATTTTTTTTGTTGTGCCATATTTGTGCAAATGTTGACCAAACGATTATTTTACCCTGCCCTAAAATTAATTTTAGGTCACCCAAACAGAATATAATACAATTTTATTTGGTAAAATATAAAAGATGGGGTTACGTCGGGTGAAAAGATACCAAACATGTCCAGCATTAAAATTGTGCATGCCAGTGAAATAGCACTAGCTACATTACCGAAAATTGCATTTAGGCGCACTTTTAAAGCCTTTACCGCTCATAAATTTAGAGTGATGAGTGGTAAAGGTTTTGAGTGATGGCCCTAAAATTATTGCGCTCACTGCAGCATTTACATTGTTATGTAACATGCGAGGTGCACCTGACACGTGTTTCCATTTGTATGTGCATGTACATCAGGGTGGACCTTGTTTTTTTTTTCCACTTAACTTTATTGTCATCACATAGCTTGGTTAACAAGCTCTTTATGTGATAGAAAAGAGGAAGTCACAGATCCTCAGGGATCTAATGTCACCTATGGACCCCACTAAAGCTGATAAAGCATTTTTCATTTCCATGAAGGCTTTGTTCCACACACTATGGTGCTTATTCACAAAAAGGGTGAAGAGTTTGGAGAAGGCAGGAGAAGTGAACAATCTAGGACAACAAAGCTGAACCGGAAAGTGAGCTGAATTGGAGAATTTTTCCAAATCAGCTATTTTGGCCTGGATTGTTCACTTCTCCTGTCTTCTGCAAACTCTTCACCTTTTGTGAATAACCCTGTTTATCTTTTAGGCCTTATGGTCTACCCTAAAGTATTATACATGGTCTTTTTCGAAACAGGGTTTCAATTTGGTAGCAAATTGATACATTTTTATACGCAACATTCAACAAAGTCTGGTCATTGAAATATCATATTAGTGTGACTTTTATACAACATAACGGAATGAATGTATCTGTTTTACTTTTAAAATGGCTTTATTCCCATTTTGATGCTACATTATAACACGCGTAGTGGAAAATAAATGGTTTGTATATATTGTTAGCATTATATTAGGACAGGACTCAACAAATTCCAGACGCCAGGTTGGCGTGGCAACTAGAAATGGCGTCCTGGCGCTTGGACTTTTGTCAGCCTCTTCTGCTGCCGCATCAGCTCCCTGCTGGGAGCCTGCTGCAGTCTGTGTCCCCTTCGATCCCCGCTGCTCTCCCTGCCTGTATCAGCTGAGGCAGCAGAAATTGGAGGGGACACAGACTGGTGCAGCCGGCACTCAGCGGGGAGGAGAGACCACTGTCACTAGCTGCTATTGGCTATTGCTATTTGAAATAGCCAATAGCAGGCTGGCTATTGCTCCCAGCCACTGCCTCCTGTGTTTACATTCAGCTGCTTCAACAGGCAGCTGTCATTCCCCCCAAAAAATTAAATAAAATAAAAAATACGAAATGTTTTTTTAAAGTGCCCCACAAACGCGTGCATATTAACGCAAACATAAGTCGAGTGAAAATGGCGATTGGGCTATGCATGTCAGATATATAAGCAGCTTGATGTTCCTGTGACTACAGCAAATACTAAGAGGTTTATGGTCCTTGGGAATGTAGCCATCCTCCCCGCATGTGGCCACAAGAGGGAAATAGACCCAAGATTGAACAGAGGTTGAGTGCATATGGTTGACAAAGCTAAACTCCACAAGATACATCAGTTTCTGATTGCACCACCCATTGCTTTGTTGAGCAATGGGCTCAACGGAAAACTCCACTATTGAAAGAAAAACATAAAATTGAAACTGTTTTTGCATATTGACAAGCCATAATGTGTCCGTCTTTGGACGGATGAGAAAAAACTGGAGCTCTTTGGCAAGTCCTATCCGCTCTATGTTCACAGATGAAAACATGAAGCTTTGATGGCTAGGCCTTTTACATGCAGTGTTGCAATCAAATAACAATACAATGTCTCTCATGTATAGCTTTACCATCCCCTCCTTACTCAAATTGCACTTTAAAATGTAAGAACACCTTTAATACTGTGTCCAGCAGGGGGAGCACAAGCACATTGTAAATTCATAATGTAATACTTAGGTGTATTGTGCATAGCTGCATGTCACATTGTAAAAACCAGTTCTTTTCTTTTACAAGTATCCACGACTTCAAGATACAACTTTTACAGAGATCACTGCTGAAGAATACCGAATGGTACTAGCAACTGGTAAGCCATGTATTTATATTAAATCTTCTGAAATTTTATATATATCTATCCTGTTTCCCCAAAAATAAGACCTAGTACTATTTTTGTGAATTGCTAAAATATAAGACCTACCCCGAAAATAAGACCTAGTTGTGACCATTCCCAGGGCCGGTGGTGGCATAAGTGGGAACTTGAAGAGCTGTGGGAGAGGCGGGAGAGAATCAGCGGTGCCAACAAAGCCAGCGCTAGAGGGAGCCGATGCTTCCTCTATAGCGACAGCTCCTGTCACAGGCGGAGTGATACCAAATGCACTCCGCCTGTGATGAATCGATAGGGAAAGCGCGCTTCGCTCATTCTGGTTACCAAATTGCTCTTGGAAAGGTACGGCACCCCTGATTGCCCTATTCTTAACTTTCCCATTTTGGATTATTTCATTTGGATGTGCATTCACTTTGGATTGTTGTACATTAAAAAAAATATGACCTAGCGTGTTTTTTTTTTTTTTTTTTATCAAAA